CTTTCTTCTTCTGGGCAGGTTTCGACTGCACACTGCAGGAATTCCAGCATACCTCTCACCATCCAGGTGATGCCAAGGACCATGGCAAGCTTTTTCTGTCCTTTTCCAACCCCTTAGCCCCCACCTCTTCACCATTCAGTGGTAGCAGTCTCACACCGAAAAGGAAAGTCCTGGACCCATTACATAATTCTCCATAGTGCAAGCAGTAGCTGGGGCATAAGGTCAGAGGTCATAGTGGGGTCAGGTGGCTGACACACAGTGTAACGACAAGGTGGTTAAAATTAGACCACAGAGAGGAAACTGGCAGTCTTGTGGAAATGCAGAAGTTTCCTCTGCAAGTGAGAGGCTGGGGATGTAGGGAGGCCACTGTGCGTGCTGCCTGCCAGGCTATTACTCATTTCAGCTCTGTTCTTTAATGCCTTTTAGCCCTTGCTTCTGTATTTCTAGCCTTCCTCATCACATGTTCGAATGCACGCGATGGAACCCATGGTTACCTGCCCTGGCCCAAGGAGAGCTTCCTTCCTCCTTCAAGGAGGTAAGCCCAGGACCGGGCACCCCAAGCTCAAGATAGCTATTCTTTACAAAACTTTTTCTGGGTAGCTGAGCATCTTTTAGGTCAGCCTCTCAGGTGGGGGTGGTCAAAGTACTTAGCCTGAGATTCAGGCTTATATGGCTCTAGGACCATTGGTGAAGGTGAACAGGGACCACTCCTAGGCAGAGAGAGTAGTAGCAGGTTTGCCTGGGAGAGGTGGCAGAGGATGGAGTTACAGAGCACACAGTTGACTGATGTGTGCTGTGCTTTCCTGGCCAGCCAGCTGGCAGAGCGGTGCTCATTTCCACACTGTCCTAGAGGATATGGATCCTGCCTGCCTCATCTGCTCCCTGTGGTACCCAGCCAAGTTTCCCTGTGCCTGTCAGCCCTTATTGTGAGCCTCCTATGTGCCCTGCTCGTCCTTAGCACCCATTGCCAGGGAAGTACGAAAAGTATGGAATGTAGTCTTTGCCACCATTGCGGGTTTTGTCCAGGTAAGGGAGATAACAAATATACCTGTAAAACAATGAACAAACAATCAAAGACAGACTTTAAGTTAGTACTCTACTGCGTGATACAGACATAGAAGTCCCTTTCATGTTACAGTATGGGAAAGCATTGGGGGGCAGGGAGCACTCAGTATGGGCTAGAGTTAGTGATGATGAGAAAGGGCTGCCACCCTGTGGCATATCTGGCCACTGAAGTATGTTTCCCTGCATGGACTGGCCTTTACCAGCTTCCAAGTTCCAGATCAAGTAGGATCACTCCTCTCCCTTGGTGAGTGCCTGCCATACAGAGGAGAGGGCCCCAGAGGCCAGAGAAGAAGAGAAGAGCATGAGAAGGTACAAGCAAAACAGATGGGGTTGCAGGTGAGGCCATGTGTGTGTGGTCTCACAGGAGAAGGACCCCAGATAGAGTGACTATGGAAACTTCATCTGAGACACTTGCAGATTTGACAATTGCTCAAGATATTGAATTTCATTTCAGCTAAATTAGCCCCAGCTTCTCTGACAGCACTGGCTTATATACTGATATGGCCACTTGGGAGCAGGATGGCGTGAACCCCTGGAGGAACAGAGCTTTGGTGAAACACCCCCCACCTGCTTCGCCTGTCTCCCTTCTCCTGACAACAATTTCCTGCCTGACCCCAGTCGCTTGAGCATGAGAAGCTCTTAGGTGGAGCAGGAACCCGTCAGGGGAAGCCCAAAATGATCCAGCTGAAATGAAACAGCCAAGAAAACCCTCATTATTCATTTTGCGTTTAGGCTGAAAGTTCTTTTGAGATTCTGGAGAGAGGAGAGCTTGGAGAAAAATGGAGAGTAGCAGCGAAGGGTACCAGAAAGCTGTATTCTCTGAAAGCCAGTGGTTTGCACTCCACCCTTCTATCGATCACCCTTCCTTCTATCAATTAGATAAAAAACTTAGAAGAATTTTATTTAGTCTTTTTTTATATATCAGGACTTCAGTGAAAGAAAGGCAAAACCCCAGAGGATACCTGTCATTGGTCCTGGGGTTGTCTGCTACCCTAGAGATGACCTAAGGAGAGATGATGATGACTTTCTTCCTTCAGATGATGATCTTGGTCCTCAACCCACCCTTAGCCCGTGCTCACCATCTCACACACACACACACACACACTCCCTCTCACTCACTGTGCTTCCCTTGCCCAGTAACTTTGATACGTTTCTCGTGCCCCTCAGCCAGTAAAATGTCTCTCATCTTCATCTTCCTTTTCAGAAAATGCTGTTTTTCTTCTCTCCCTCTCACCCTGTAGGTTATTGCAGCCGACTGCAAAAGGGTCACAGTGCTGAAGTATTTTCTGGAAGCCCTTTGTGGACAAGAAGAGCCTCTGCTGGCATTCAAGGGTGGAAAATATGTGTCAGTGGCACCCGTCCCAGACACCATGGGAAAGGAAATGGGAAGCCAAGAGGGAAAACAACTGGAAGATGAGGTACTATGCGGGAAGAGCCCGCTGTGGCAGAGGGAAGGCTCCCCTCCCTACCCGCTCCAGCCGTGCTCTGCCCATGGCTTCGGCTTCTACCCCTGGTTATTTATAACCAGTTAGAGCAATGTCAATGTTAACGTGACCAGCCAACTTCTCAAGAGTGCACTCTGCTGGTGCCCCTTCCTGCCAGTCCCACCCCAGTGCCTCCACCTCACTCTGCTACGAGTTCCAGATGCTTCTTTTTAATGTTACATTGGAGGAGAAGGGAGGGAAAGAAAGAGTTTAATAATGTGCAGCTCTGGAGGCTTAGGAAAGGCATTGGGGCGGGGGGGACAGTGTTAGGGTTCAGGCTGAGGATCAAGTTTATAGATGTGTGGAGCTCAGTGCAACACAGGCCTGAACTCCAGCCTCTAGCACACGTACAGGAAGAGCTGACATTGCTGGCCCCGTGTGGAAAATCACCCCCTCCCCCAGCCTGCCCTCCCTCCATCGTTCCCTCCCTCCCTCCTGCACATCCTGATGTGATTAAGGAATTCTCCTCTTGTTTGTTTGCCCTTGGTTGTTCCTGTAGCCCTTGCTTCACTCCAGACTGTGTGTGCACTAGTATGCACACGCCTGAGCCTGTGTACCCACCCTTGATAAACCCTGCTGGCAGTTGCCCTGCCATACATGTATTTATCCTTCTGGGGTTGATCGTTGTCATGAATCTGTATGTGCTGGGTTTGTATATCAGTTTAAGTTGAACACTGCTGCCAGCTTCCCTGCTGTCTGTGGGTTCTGAGTAAATGTGAGTGTGTGACGGTGTCGGCACATATATGTGTTTAATATCACTGCCAGCTATCCTGCTGTATCCTGCTGTGCGTCTGGGTACGGGTAACTCTGTCTGGGTGTGTGTGCACACAGCTCACTTTTGCCTGATGGTTGATTCTTTCCTTCTTTTTACCCCGCAGTGTTAAAGACAGAGGGGCCTTAGGTGAGAAGGAATGTGGGACTTAAGGAAGGGACGGAAGCAGTTCTAGCCAGGGGCCAGGTCACCCATAGGCCAACACAGTCATTTGGCCCGCAGCAGTCTCAAGCGCCTGGTGGAGCAGGGTGGGGTGCAGGGATGAAATCAGCAACAGGCCAGGGAAGCCAGATGTCAGCTGGAAGCTGTCGTTTATGATCTGAAGCAGTGATAGAGTGGCCACCTTTGGTTCAGAGTCTTCAGAGCAGCAAATTCTTGGACTGGCTTCATTAGAATAGCTGGAGAACCCCACCCCACCCCTGATGACACAGGGCTCAGCTTCCAGGACAGAGGTAGTTCCAGGGATAAAACTGAGCCCATGATTCCATATTCTCCAGATGAAACCTGGACAGGGAATAACGGGAAAGAATGAGTTGGCAGCATGGGAGGAGACAGTGGGGTTGCTAAAGCCATCAGAGTGTCCAGGCTTCAAGCAGGACAAAGCAGTGCCACCCAAGCCCTGGTAGGACAGCATGGGTGGGGCAGTGCCTCAGTCAGTTATATCACCAACACATTAAGGCTGAGGCAGGCAGTGGAAGGTCAACAAGGCTAGCTCTCCAGGATTGCTATGAGAGATGTCCTCTGGCCAGTGCAGCCTGCAGTTCCAAGTTCAGTTAGGCAAGTGAGGCCCAGAGAAAGGGCCTCTATAAAAGCCAAGGAAGGCTTCTTCCACTCTTACAAAGAACAGACCAGCTCGCTGGTCCCAGATTGTGGCTGTGCCACACTCACTCACTCTTCTTCTAAGTCTTAATTGACCAGACAAAGGTTGTGACCCATGCCACACTACCCACTTCTTCCTTTTCCCACGAGCCTCCTGGGTTCCTTTATGTTAGTGGCCCCTGGGAAACCCTACTTACCCTGGTCTGTGTAATTTCATAACCCTGCACTTCCTCGTTTGCTGTGAGAGTTGAGCGAACCTCAGACAAGCTTTGCTGACCCTCTTTTGACCTCAGTCAAACTTATTCCGAGCCCCATGATAACCCAGTGTATTCCTGATCTGAGCAGGCAGAGGCAGTGTTACCCCACCAGCCAGTCAGACATCCTACTCCACTCACTCCAGTCCAGGTTAACCTCATGAACAAGGAAGTAAATGTGTAGTCTTCCTCCTTCTCATGGCTTGGGCCTCTCTGGAAGTGAACCCTGTGACACGATAGCCAGCCTGTATGTGGTCAGATGAGTGATGACTGAGGACAGCACCCCAGATTCCTGAGACCTTTTGGGATAGTGGCAGTTCTGGCCCCATTCTGAGATCTCATCTCTTCCCAAACTGCAAGATTGAAGCACTTAAGCTGATTGGGAGAGAAGAGGGAGATGTTTCTTCAGACATCATTCTTCTTGAAGAAAAGAGTCCAGTTCCTTAGGGATGCTAACAAAACACTGTCTTCCCACCTCTAGATTCTGCCCCCAAGACAGAGCATCACCTACCCACCCAAACACTTTACCAACAGCTTTCCACCAAGGGAGTTCATCAGAATATCATCTTGAGATGAATAGTGAAGAGAGAGCAGTCTGTACTGAACAGATCCTGGCTTGGCCCATGGGAGGCCCGGCAAAGCTGAGCCACTAAGGGATGGGTTTGGGCTTACCATCTAGCTTCAGGAGCCCAACCCTATGCTACTTGCTGTTATTGGTAAGACCACAGACTTTGGATTTGGACTCACTAGAGTTCGAACCTCTGCTCTGCCTCTTAGTGATTTTGTGATCTTGAGCAAGTTATTTAACTCTAAACCTCAGTTTGTTCATTTATAAAATAGGTATTATAATAGCATCTGTTTTACAGGCCGTTCTGAGTATTAAACGAGTTACATGAAAAATACTTAGCCCAGTCCTTGGCCAATACTAAGCTCTCAGTAAATGGTAGCTGTTACTATCCTAATCATTGTCATTATTATCATCTAGTTAGAAACACAGGAATCCGCTTTTACTAAATCACTCCCTATTACCCATGCTAGCTGTGTCCCTCAAAAGAAGCTCTCTTGGGCAGCTGCATGTTCTCTTCTAACCAAGGCCAAAAGTGAGAGAGTGAGGAATAGAGCCTGGGACCACCCGGGGAGCAGTGGCTTATGAGCACAGAGGCTGCAAGCAGGGAGGTGCCATCCCTGGGGAAGGCTCCACCACCCTGGCAGGAGACTCTTTAAGCTAACCAACTATCTCCTAGCCTGCCCAGGCCCTGGTAGGGCAGCTGAGCAAGGTCATGTCATGTGAATTCCTATAAGGGGGCCCAGAAGCCCTGACACCGCCAGACTGTGATCTTAAAAAGAACCCAGGGTAAGGTCAGCTGAGCTACAGTATCTGCTCCCTTACGCCATCTGGAGCACGAAACTACTTGATCTCTACATAAGGATTCCTCTACCATCAGCCCTCTCATGGACCCATACCTCTCCTTCTAGCAATCTTTTCTTTATGGCTCTCCCAAGTCTGCCCTCTAGTACTGTAAGCTCACTTCCTCTTATCTAGGGCTCAGGGCAGTGACTCCTAACTCCCAGCTGCTGGTCAGAATTGATTTCTTTCAGACCATTAGCATGAATTAGATTTAAATTGGGTGGTTTAACTTTTCTCTGTTGTTCTCCCCTTTGGTGATTTCAAAATGAAGGTAGGCCCAGAGTTTGACTTTGTATGCGCAGAGGAGAATGAAGAGCTGTGAGTATAAGCAAGGAAGCATATATGTGTGAGTTAGTCGAGAGTGCAGAAGGGAGTGACAGCTTCTCTTTATCTCCTCACACCTTGGGGCCCTTTGCAAGGAATGGTCCGAAAAAGCATGGAGTGGGGGTGGTGGAAGGACAGAAGGGCTGGTCTGGTAAGTGCTGTGGGCTCACAGTCTCCTCTCTTTCCTGGCCTGCTCTACAACCCAAAGGAAGAAGACGTGGTGATTGAAGATTTTGAAGAAGATTCAGAGGCTGATGGCAGTGGAGGCGAGGATGACATCAGGGAGCTTCGGGCCAAGAAGCTGGCTCTGGCCAGGAAGATAGCTGAGCAGCAACGTCGACAAGAAAAGATTCAGGTGGGGCCTACCTGGGGAGGGTGGTTCTCATGAAGGTGGTGCTATACACAGGGCATGAGGGGAATGTGAGCAGAGAATGGGGATGAGCAGGACCATTTCAGGAAGAGTCTTACAGTGTCCTGTCTGATTCCACCCCCTTGTTTTCTTTCTCCATCACTAAATTCTGGTAGCACATTTAGTGCCTGGAGGCTCCCTCCTCCCAGGCTCTAAAGCAGAAGTACGTTCTTCTCAGAGAATCCAGCAAAAGCTTCTCCTCTCACAATGATCTTTGAATACAAACCACATGATTTCAGGAGTTTCAGAGTTTTCCAGAACCTTATTCAGACACTCCCAGAGAAGCCAGGGATTCTCTTTTGAAAACACCTGTCTTCAGAGGGGAAGATGTCATGGCCACAGTCTGTTTATCTGGATTCCCAGTTTAATGGCTGAGCCCCTCTGCAAGACACTCTAAACCCTCCCAAAGATAAACTACTTGATCTCTACACAAAGATTCCTCCACCATCAGCCCTCTCATGGACCCATACCTCCACTTCCAGCACGTTTTTCTTTATGCCTCTCCCAGGTATGCCCTCTTGCACTTGTAAGCTCACTTCCTCTTATCTAGGGCTCAGGGCAGACAGGGAAGAGCCAGTCATGCTCCCCCATGTAACTGTAGGCATGGAGAAGCATCATGTCTGATTTCAACTCTCTCTTCAGCCACCCCTCACCTTTGAGAGGCCTCAGTGCATGTGGTCAGGCAGACCTGATCACACTCTGCGCTCCACCACTTACTAGTTTTGTGACTTTGGGCAAATTGTTTGATTTCTGAGAGGCTGATTCCTCATCTGTAAAATGAAAGTGTTAACAGCACCTACCTCTTAGAATTGCTGTGAAGCTTGCAGAAGCTGGCTCGTATAAAACCCTTAGCACAGTGCGTGGCACACAGCATGTGCTCCATAAATGGTCGTTGTGGTCTGATATTAATCTAATCACCCATCAGCCTGATCCCTGCCCTGGGAAGGGAATTAATACCAGTTGGGATTCATCATTCTTTAGACATATTCATGTTCCCCTGCGCACCGTAATCAAATGTGCAGTACCTCTACCAGTGTCATCTTGATGTGGCTACCTCCTCAGCCCTTCTGTGGTCTGTGTGTAACTCTCTGTTGTGGCCCACAAATCAGCTTCATCCTCACACTGTCTTTCTTCTGTCCAGTGGATCCTTTTTCCTTACCATCAGTCTTCCCAAAAGTTCTATCTACACTCACCATCTCCACTTCTTAACTCTCAACCCAGCAATTATAGAACCTGTATGTTAGAAGTCACCAAGTACTTGTCTTTATCAGGTCTCAGTTCCCATTATCATTGACTTCCCCATAGCTTTAGACCCTGAGCCACCTTCGTCCAGCCTCACTTTAGCACAAGTGGACCCTTGTCTTCTCTCAGTATTGACCTAGGCTACCTCACCACCATTCTTTTCTTGGTCTCCTCCTTCCTTTCTGTTACTTCTTAGTCTTAATGCACAGAGTTGGCACTCAGCAGGTATTTGTTTGGTGACTTAATAGGTGGTAGCAACTAAAGCATCGCCTTAAATCCTCACTGGCTTTCAACCCCTCAGGTCTGGTTTTTTATCAGACCTATCTGTTCACTCATTTATTCCCTTCTCTCTTCTCTATTCCCATTGCCACTACTGCTATTCTAGTCCAGGTACTGACTTGGATTATAGCAGTCAAGGCCTCTGCACAACTCCAGGGAGATGTTGTTTACCTTTTAGTCTATGAATGGAACCTCCTGGAATTGGGCAATATACAGTGTACATGCAGGCTCACTGCCTCCAATGCATGTTACATGTTTTCATCATTCTCTTTCCAAAAAGCCATTCCCCTGCGCAAATCTTCAGTGCCTTTGCTTGTATAACATAATAAAGTCTAATTCCTTATTATGGCATTCAAGGCTTTCTACTGTGTTCCCAACCTCTTCTCCCATACCCCGTGATCTCTTACTAGCTATATGACATTGGGCAAATTATTTAACTTCTTTGAGACGCTTTCCTCATCTATAAAATGAAAGTTGTAACAGCACCTACCTCATACCTCAGAAAGACAGTGTCTATAAAGTGCCTGTTCAGACCAGGGCCCTCCTGCCTGGTCAGTACTACCCTTCCTCTCTGCTCACTGCCCCTACATGAGCTCTGTCCTTTTCTATTCTCAGATCTTTGTTCATGCTATTCCCTAAAACCAAAGTACCTTTTTTTCTGCTCTACATTTCCTGTTACCTGTTGAAATTCTATTCGTCCTTCAATCCCCAGATGAAACTTTCATCTCCCCAATGAGCCTTCCTTGATTCCCCACAGGAGAAATTAATCTCTCTCAGCTCAGTGTTCCCGTAGCACTGATTTATACTTCGTATATGAAACTTATATCACATCTTGTATTACACTTATTTCTGGACTTGTTCTCCCACTGTACTTGAATTGGAATCAGGTACCCTGTCTTCAGCTCAGTTTAGTAAGTGGTGGCAAGCATATTCTATGCTGGTAGTCAGGGGACACAGGAGTGAACAAAAAAGCCCCAGAGTGTACAGTAGAGTGGAAAAGCCAGTGATTTGAAGTGTGAGTGAGCACAATTACAAAAAGCAAGGACAGGATGCTGTGGGAGCATGTGCCACAGACACATGGCCTTGTCTAGAGTGCCATGTTCAGCTTTGCATCTCCATCAATAAGCAGTGTGTTACAAATAGGACGTCTTATATGAGACTTAACTTCCAGTGCTGGTGGCAGCGCCTGTCTAGAAGCCTGTTCTTCCCCATCACCTCCTTTAGAGCAGGCTGCTCAGGTCCAGGCACCAAAGGCCTACTGTGGATTGGCTATGGCTTGGGTTGCTGTGGCCCCTTTAAGAATAGGCCCCACATGAACTGCTCCTGGCAGCCCTGCCTCCTGTCAGCCTTCTTCCTCCAGCCTCACAGCCACAGGAGGATTTCTCAGCAGAGGAAAAATTCCCCCTTTCCCTTCCCCCCCCCTTTAATGCCCGGGGCCCTTCACTTCCATAATTCTTCATTTTCCAGCCTTGAACGTAAGCCAGACACATCTGTCTGGCCATATGCGTGAACCCTGGAGTCTGTGCCGAGGTGGCTGTAAAACAGGGCCGGTGAAGGCCCTTCTGGGAGAGCACACACATGTGTGTGCCCTCGGGCCATTGGCTCTCTGCCCAGAACCACGGGGCTGCAGCGCTCCAAACCCATGTTAACCTTTTCTTATTTTTCCTCTTTTTGTTTAATTTAAGGGGGGAAAATCCCAAGGAAAAGGTATAAATTGTCCTGGGAGTGGGGGAGAGGCTCCTAGCTAGAGAGGCCATTATTGTTGGCAGGTACCTGGGTCACACTAATACAATAAGGAAGAGAAGAACATAGAGTGAATTAAGATCGGAGAGATGGGCTGTAAATTACACTGCTCTGAACTCCATCAGTCTCCAGGGGTGTTAACTGAGAGGTGTAAGGCAAGTCCCCAGCTCCCAGTGCCTTTTACAGATGCAGCAAAACAGGAACCACACATTTGGGGAGGGGGATATGAAGATAGGGTTGAAAAAAATCCTCCTGGCCCCCATGATGGCTATAAAGTCCAACTAAGATTTGGGGCTGTAGCCACACCCCTACTTCCCTGCTCGCACCTAGACCCTTGGGCCCAAGCTCATCTGTGGGGCTGTGGGAGGTAAAGCCTGGCCTCCCTCTGCAGCCTGTCCTTCCCTGCTTCCGGCGTTGCACAGAGGCTGGTGAGTGGGGCCGACTGGAGTTCAGAAAAGGGGTGTGGGCAGCTCTCAAGGCCTGTGCAGCTGGAGCCCGGCTCTTAGGCAGGCCCCGGGATACTGGGGGACCAAGTCCTCCCACTCGGGGCTTTGAGGCCACACTCTCCGGCTCAGCTTAGGCTTTGCCTGTTGCCTGAGACAGCTGTCTTCATATTGGGTTGGCTCTGCCCACCTTGCTGCTTTCCACCTCAGTTCTTTTCATTGCCATTGCCATCCTTGGGAGGTGTCCAGAGACCACAGCAGGGTACAGGGTTTGTCTGGGAAATTGGTCAGAAGTGTTTCATTCCTAACCAGGCCCCCAGGGCAAAGCAGTCACTGAAAATCCTCCTCCGGGTGTGAGGCATGGCCTCTTGGCACCTCATACTAGTCCTGTGAATCCCCCGCCTCCTCTCTGCCTCCATGAGGCTTTACTGTGATTTGTGCTGCTGTCGGGCGGGGTCAGGTTTCCTGAGCAGTTGCAAACATCCCACCTGAAACATAACAGGCTCTTCCTCTGGCCACAGCTATTGTTTCCCTCTGCATTATGGCCACAGTCTTACTCTGTAGCCAGCAATGACATGTGTTCTGAAAATAGCTTCCTCCCCTG